CATCTGAACTAGACTGTGTTATTTCTCTGGGCCATATATGTGTGTGTATGTGGATATATTCATAATTTATTTATTTTTTTGTCATTTGTGCAGTGTATATTGGAGATAGTTACCCTTTGAGAGCTGTATGCAATGAGATCTCATTTTAATGTATGCCAATTAATGTACATTTAAAGTGACAATAAAGTTATTATTCTGTTCCGTTCCGTTCCATTCCATTCCATTCCATTCTATTCTATTCTATAATGGTTGCTTGTTTATCCATTCTTGATGAGATGCTGCCATGATTAAATTTTGGTTTAAATGAATAAATGGGGTGCTAACTGGTGATAACAATTAAGAGAACCCACTACTTTTGTATTGGGGACAATGACTCAAGGAAGGAGGAAGTGCTATTCTTTTCTGTAAGCTTTAATTACTTCCTTTCATTGCCCCATTCCTTGCTCTGTTCCCCCAAAGCTCACAGAACAAAGATTGTGGTCATATCTTTCCAATCCTCCTTGACTCCTATTAAACTTAGCATATGTGGCCAGTGGCAAAAAAAAGGTGGGAGTTGTAATTATAGATGTTCAGTAGAATCCATGATGGTGTCACATACATTGTGACATTATTGTCAAATATCACAGATCATGTAACTTGTGCTGGTTTTGGAATGTAACTGGGAAGTGATGTTATGAAGTATGTGATATTCCTTCTTTCCTTTCCTGTGGATGCCCACTGCTATATGATAATACATTTGATTGCCTATGCCTAATGCAAAACATCTTTCTTAATGAATGGAAATCTGAATTATGTCTAGGAAATTACCAGTGGCCTCTGACTGAAAGATAAATCATTTAAAGACTGCACCAAAATATAGTGATAAAACATTATGAAGCGTTACACAATTCTCCTGGTCGATATGCTCTTCTTATCATCTCCAATCTCCAGACTAAATTCTAGACTACAGTTAATGTTTACAATAATTAGTAGAAACAAGTTAGCTTCATAACTATGATTTTAAGTTCACCTATTTCTGCTATCCAGGTTAAGACTAGCAAAATTTTTGATGCAGACAGGACTTTAAAACTATTGTTAATCTAAAATGGAAGCACAGTTGTCTGAGTTCTTTTCTGTAATCATACTGGAGCAAGAAAGGGAAGCACAAGAGAATTGGAGGCCAACTTGGTTTATTTTTGGAACAGTGAACTATGATTTAACATTATGTCTCAATCAATCCACTGAAATAAGTGAAGAAGGTATGCTGGACATCACTACAAGACTATAGAGTTTCAGTATGTCATTTGAAGCAGACATACATTATTTGCATTATTCATCTGGACAGTGCTTTGTGTTTTGGTGAGAAAAGTGGAGTCAGATGCATGGATGTGAACTATTGGCAGTATGAGGTAATAAAAATTCTATTATAGTTCAACTCTGGGACTGTTTGATGTGCTTCTCATGATTGTCAATGTTTTTTCAATACAGTGATATACTGTATCTATATTTCTGTATTTCTATTCTGTTTGCAGACATGTCAAACTGCCGGCCCATGGGCCAGATGCATCACGCTGAAACTACGCCCACCCCATTACCGGCAATGGGGAAAAAGTCCCGATATGTCGTGTGAAGTCATGTGACGTCGTGAGTTTGACATACCTGCTTTAGTAGATTTCAGTGGGTGGAAAGGGATATGGAATGGGAGGAGAGAATCTCTAACAAGACCATGTTGATATCGATATTAGGATATCTGTATTGTTGCTTAATATGAAAGACAATGAACTTAAATTTAAAATTAGGAACTGGATTCAAATGCAACTTTTTATTAAAAGAGCCCATTCTTTACCAAAGTATCAGTGATCCCTAAGGAATGCATTCTTTTCTTAGAAAGTACTTATCAAAGCTATAATATAGACAAAAGGCTCATAGAAGTAGAGTCCATCAAAAACAGCTAAGTAGGTGATCTCATCCCATTATTTTTAGCTCTGTACACTATTGATAATTAATTTGACTGACATCAAATTGATTTCCTGTCTTTTGTTTTTTGTAAACATTTTGTTTTGTAATATACACAAAAATTGCTTAGCTGTTCAAACAACATCTGAAATGTTAAAAAAAGAGCCCTCTAATTGATTTAGGAGAAAAAGATATATTTTTGATCAGCATAGATTTAAAAGAATTAATAAGTAAATTATTCTTTATTAAATGAACAAATATAAATATGACAGAATTGGGAAGTAGACTCTGCAAGTAAGAAATTATCGTCAAATTATTTTTGCCAGTTCTCTGAAGCTGATCCGTTCTTGGTTTTCACTTTGCCAATTAGCATTTGTTAGAGAATCTTTATGCATGAACAAATCACTTATGTGTTACTTTCCTTGATGAAATTTGATACATTAGAAAGCTTGCTATTCTTATAGTACAGATACAATTTTGTCCTGAGCCACTGTGGCCTGACATAGCTTTCATTGTCTTAATTGCAGGTTCTCTTATTTCCCAATCTCTGAGGTGTCACAAAGGATTTAACAGGATAATTACAAATGTTTATCACCACTTTTCCATTTCTTTTCCTTCAATGTTCTAATAATACCAGATTCTGCTTCTGAACTATCATCTCAGTCATTGTACATATCAATCTAATTTAAAATAACTTGAAAGCCATAATGGGAAAAAACCCAACTTATGGAGTGATAATATAAACTATTATTTTTATTTAATAATGTTAAACAATAAAAGAAAATGGAACAATTGTAGCATATATAATTTACATTAACTGATCAAAAAGCTTACATTGCATATACATAAATACCAATAAAGGAGACTATTTGTAGCTCAGGTTTGAAATGAAGAATCCTTGGTACTCTCTGAACTTGGTTGTTTTCTTGCAGATGTTTCATTACCCAAACTAGGTAACATCATCAGTGCTAGTAATGTTGACTAGCGCTGATCATGCTACCAAGTTTGGGTGAGGAAATGTCTGCAAGAAAACAACCAAGCTCAGAGAGCATTAAGGACTCCTCATACATAAATAGTTTGAACTCAAATAAATATATATTTTCTATATATATTTAATTATGTGTGCATATTTTTAATTATGCACACAAAGATCATAGCAACCATCATGTTTGAACAAAAGCTTCCCCGTATCTGGGAGGAGAGAATAAAAACTTTTCTAAGAGGGCCAGGTGACCTGTTATTTTTGCAGTCTGTTGCATGGAACAGATGCCTCTGTCTATTCAAAGAAAATAGATGAATGACAACTGCTCTCTGATTAGAAGAGCAGCCCTACAGATTCTGGGAGATGCTATAGGTGCCACTGATTATTTTTTCCTCTGTGGTCAAACATTCATTCATTCAAGGTGCAATGGCTCAGTGACTTAACGATGTTGGAAAGGGTCTCTGCTCCACTGGTTCAATCCTAGCACTGTGAGCAGGGTGAGCTCCCATCACTTGCCTCAGCTTTTGCCCACCTAGCAGTTTGAAAGCCTGTTCTATGCGAGTAGATAAGTAAGTACCGCTTTTTGTGGGGAGACAAACCAGTGCTTCATGCAGCGGTTAGAATCTTGCCAGCACTGAACTTTCCTGGTTGTGATACCCATTTGTGAGGAGGCTTCGATGGAGGGAGAAGGGCCTTGGATGATGCTGCAGGAAAAGCCACTTGTTTTTCTTTCTGGTGCAAAGCTAATTCGCCGCCTTGTGATACCTCAGAGCTGATAAACAGGCAGGCAAACTACTACTTTGCATTAGCATTGTAGTCTCCTGGCTAATGTAACAACGCCACACAATTAATTAATTAATTAATTAATTAATTAATTCCATGTCATGCCAAGTCTAATGGTAGAAAAGGAAGACTCCCTGCAGAGGAATCATAGTAAAGGAGCCATGGTTTCTCTTGCCACCATTGGAGATAAAGGAGTATGTTGGGACAAATCATAGGTTTTGAACTTGATGCATTCAAAGCCTCCTTTCCTGCCAAATGTGACCCTTGCAAGGGGAATAAACTGTTTCTCCCTCATGTCAATGTAGTCAATATATTGTATAATTTTCTAATCATAGGCAGTGGGGTTGATCAAACTTCCCAGAATTTTCTCCCCATAGAATTCATCTGTCATTGTCCAACTTTAGTTTTTTTATATATATCTTTCTAACTTTTTAAATGCCTAGTTCTCTATGGGCTTTAGTTTGTTATATCATTAAAACTTTATAAAGTATTCTACCCTTTATTTCCCTTCCAAGCATTTTGTAAATCGCTTTGTGAATGTGTATCCCTAAGAAGCAGTTTTTATCAAATTCATCAAGTAATTTTGAATGCTTTAATCCAATGATTTATATATTTTGAACTACATTCTGCTGTATAATTTAACATTTTCAGACTCTTTCAGTGTATCAAGTGTTTAGAGTTAAATGACATGTGCAAAATACTAAGAGGAATTATTGCAGATGGAATGTCAAATAGCACATCAAAGAATATCAAACAATATTATAATCTATATCTATCTCGTGGGTTATTATCATAGCTCAGATATAAGATTGCATATGTTGTGATCTCTGCCACTTTCAGGAATGGCTGGGGAAGATTCCAGGTGAAATCTTGACATAAGTTTCAAGTAGAATTGATTTCTTGAGGACAAAACAATTAGATCACATTTTCCAGGACAAGGCACACCCCAATGAAAAACATTCCATGGGAGTTCTATCAATAATATTTCCCATGGGATTTGACTGAAGTGTGGAAAGCCAGGGAGGTTGTAGATCACTGGAGAAAGGATGTTGCAACACAGAACATTCAAATATATCCCATTTACTCACCTCCTAGCAAAATAAGGGTAACAAGAAAATATAAAAGTTTTCTACTCACGAGAGTTTCTCTGACATGTTCTTCTTCTTCTTCTTCTTCTTCTTCTTCTTCTTCTTCTTCTTCTTCTTCTTCTTCTTCTTCTTCTTCTTCTTCTTCTTCTTCTTCTTCTTCTTCTTCTTCTTCTTCTTCTTCTTCTTCTTCTAAAGAATTCCTAAATTTTATGATGAAATAAAAAAATGACAGAAAAAATGGCATCTTTTAAAATTACTGATACAGTTTTCTAATTACCAGGACTGATTATTCATAAAGTAGCTCATTACGCTAAATATGTAACAGAAGCACATTCATATGAAGAAGAGGGAGGTATATCTGTAACAGTTCAGTGCTGGTCTAATTTTTATAAATAGTTACTTTCAGTTTCAGCATTTCATTAAGGATGAAATTTAATGATTATTTCTCTTTACTATCTCTCCAAAGAATGGCAATGAAATAATTTAAAATACTGTGATATGAGAATATATTTAATAATTAAAATAGAAATATATTAATTTTTGTGATATCATCCAATTCCCAACTGTACAGAAACAGGTTGAACTTTTATTCTATCCTTTCTCCATTTTGAATGCTGACAATAAATAATATTGTTTTTCAATTAATTCTGGAAACAAAATCCAAGAAGAAACAAAATATTTTGTTCCAGTGAGATGCAGGAGGCACATCTAAAAGATGGAAACCACCCATCCTCATAGACCCACCTACAGAAAGGAAAACAATTGATACCTGCTTTCCCAGCACAGGTGAGACGATTGAAGAAGCTGGTAATCCACAATTAGGAGTCACGTAAACCTGATTGGGATATCATTGTGGAGAGAGGGATTGAAAACTGGAAATGGATTTCTGTAGCCATCTTCATTTTCAGCTGGTTTGTGTAAGGTTTTAGTCTACTGGGGCATCAGCTGTGAATAGAGAATTAAGAATGTAAATATTCATCATGGTACCTTGACATCTGAAAACTGCACATATTGTGGAAATATTCTCTGCCTTATTATTAAGTCCTTCAAATATGGAGGCTCATAAAATGCCCTTCTCCTTATCTCTTGTCATGTCATATTTATGTGCCTCTGGGGAAAAAAGTGTTTTTGGCACCCCCATCCCCCTGCGATAATTACAAATATACTTTATTTAGGTCATAGCAACTAGGACTGTTGTACTTCCTAGAGATTCATTTTATTAACTTCAGAATTAAGGCTCTTATCTTGACGGATGATTTGGTATCATTTTGGATGTCCCCCCCCCATATTCAGTTTAGTTAAAGTAGGTAGAAACACCATTTTTCTAGAGATACAAAAAAAGGGAGGAACTAAATGTCTATTACAATTGCTAAATGGTGGAATGACTCTCTCTCTCTTTCTCTCTCTTTCTCTCTGTCTGTCTCTCTCTCTCCCCCCCCTCTCTGTGTATACACTGTGTGTGTATGTGTACTGTTTTCCAAATTCATGGCTGGAGTGGGCAGAAAAGACTTCATGATAAATATATTATGATGGATCTATGATAATAATTTCAGCTTTTGGAACAGGCACTTTAGTTGGCTTTAATTTGTAAATCTCATGAGTCTTTCACAATTTGATGGTCCTCCTTCAGGGGAAACCTTCAGAAAATGGAGACACAGTAAATGGAATTGGCAAGTCTTTTTCTTTCTCTCTGATGGGATTGCCAGTAAACTATAAATGTATGATGCAATGATGGAGATGAAAAGCAGTTTTAGCATTCAAGCAAATGCATCCTGAAGTTTATGCACAATAGCAAGGATGAAGTTTGACCAATGATAGTAGGATAATAATAATAATAATAATAATAATAATAATAATAATAATAATAATAGTAAAGTTGGAAAGGATCTTGGAGGTCATCTAGTCCAACCCCCTGCTCAGGCAGGAAACCCTATACCATTTCGGACAAATGGCTGTCCGGTCTCTTCTTAAAAACCTCCAGTGTTGGAGCATTCACCGCTTCTGGAGGCAGGTTGTTCCACTGGTTAATTGTTCTAACTGTCAGGAAGTTTCTTCTTAGTTCTAGGTTGCTTCTCTCCTTGCTTAGTTTCTACCTGTTGCTTCTTGTCCTGCCTTCAGGTGCCTTGGAAAATAGCTTGACACCCTCTTCTTTGTGGCAGCCCCTGAGATATTGGAATGATAATGTAATATCTTGTAGTTTGGGCCTCCAATGTTTATCATCATCTTCCATAATCTGATTTGTGCTGCCTGGAAATTCGGGAGGTTTTGGTCCTATCTCATCTGGATGAGCACCAAGTTGAAGAAGGGTGCATTGTGTCCAAGATCACATTATATAGTAACAAGATTTATTTTCCTACATAAAAGAAAAGTGGAAAAGTGTCAATTTGCAAATCAATATGATTTTCCCACTTAGGGAAGTTGTCAATTTGCAGATACTCTGAAATGAACATGATAGATTTATTATGGCAAGTTCCACCACACTGATTGTCCATTTTATTGTTTTAGGTATTGCATTAGTTGCTGAGAGTGAGATACATTCTGTCTCCAGTGAGTGACAACTAGAACTCTAGACTCTTCTTCCTTTGGCATAAAAACTATAAATATTATTCTTCAAGGAATAGTTCTATTATTGAAAATGTAGATGTAAGTCTGTTTTGCATGTAAGCAATAAATATGTAATATATATAATATATACAGGCGTGTTTTTGTTTATTAAACATTTTTGCACTATCTTTGATTAAAAGAAGTAAATAGCATACAGACATTTTAAACCTCAAGATAAAAACAATATAGTCTCATAACATACAGTCAGGTGTATACTGCTAGTATGTCCCAAGCATTCTACTGGACACAAATTAGTGGTGATAGGATTACTTCTTACATATTATATTATACTCTACCATTTGGGAAGATCACCATATCCAAGACTTCCTGCTATATCTCATTACCTTGGTTCAAACATTCAATTAGGACAATGTTAAACCATCAGAATATGAATACCACAGAGCAAAGGTAAGCAAATTTGGAGGTTCAGGAATCTACTTAGTCTTTTATGTTATCTGCCAGAAGCCATTCCAAAAATGTAGGGAGACAAAAAGTAAAATTGATTTCATTAATTTTTATGAAAATACAATTAAGTTAAAGAAAACTTAATAAGACTATTCTCCACTGTTAAATTTAATCATACCCTCCTTCTGTCATATTAGAAATTACATTAATAGTACTTAGAAAATTCTGGAAAAAGCACCTTCACAAATCGCACCTATCTCTTGAACCTCAGTTTGTGCATCTTTGCTCTAGCTCAGTGGTTCTCAACCTGTGGGTCGGGACCCCATTTGGGGTCGAACGACCATTTCATGGGGGTCGCCAAACCACGCTGTCCGCCATTTTTTCCCCTTTTCCTAGCTGTCTTACTCCCTCTTATTGGTGGCCACACCCACTTGGGGGTCACCACAACATGGGGAACTGTATTATGGGGTCACGGCATTAGAAAGGTTGAGAACCACTGCTCTAGCTAGAATTAGTGGTGTTCAACACTGTTTCAAAAGAATCATAAGACAGGTCTTTCCCACACATATACAGTAAAACACCACGTGTGTTTAGTTATTCTTACAATTTACCAGGGAACTTTAGGGATGCTAAATGAATTAGTTGTGGAAACCTGGCTTACTTCATAATACTCTTCAGAGTTTAAATAATGCCAACTTTCTATGAATACAAGAAATTTGGCAGGCCTAGAGAGAATATTTCATTATACCTCAAAAATATAAACAAGGGTAATGTTCACATCATGTATTCAGCATGTAGACAGGTCAGACTAAGTAAGTGGTGTTCTGGCTCCAAGTGCTTTGATTGCTTGCTTAGGTCTTTTCTGCACCAAAATCAAACATGATGAGAGACCCAGCATAATGACATGATTGGGTCAAAATGGCCAGATTTAGTAAATCCAAATATGCAGCTGAAGCACTGGCCATTACTGGATTAAGATTAGGGTTAGGGGTTATAATATAATCATAACAAATTTATGCCAAGTACTACTGACAGAGATTTTGCACTTAAAAATGTTCACTCTATTTGTGCATAATTGAATATGGAAACTGTCATGTGATCTTGCCAGCAGTTTAAATTCTGCAGACAAATTAAGGAAAGATGCAGCTATTGATGACTACAAATCAATAATAGTTATATTATTATGAGGCAACATGCCTCCAAATTCCAGATGTTACTGTGGGAAGTGGATGTTACACAAATTAAACCTTGTTCTGATCCAGCAAGGCTCTTAGTTTGATCTCAAGGGACATGGAATGCCATGCTACTGAACTCATGACAGTCATACTAACAAAGCACTTGTTAAAATAATGTAATTCATAAGGAAAAAAAAGCCCTTCTATCTTGATCTTTTGGTGCATTCATTTTTAGAATGAGAGACAGAACTGTTAAACATAGGGAAGTGAGCCTTTGTTTTATGCAACAAAGGCCCAGTGCTTCCTTTGACTGTGCGATCACCAAGAGAGTGCAGCTTCTTTGCCAGGTCATAGGAGTTCAGCCGAATGCTGTAGAGTAGAAAGAGCACGTGTGCTGTCTCTTCGGGGCATCAAACTTTGGTAATTTAACATTGCCCTTGGCTCTGAACAAAAATCACCATGGATTGAAAGCTCTTATATCCCTTGGTCCAATGCTCTTCCAGTCAAAAGGGGAGGGGGAGAGAACCAAGATGAAACACAGACAGCCATTGTCAACTATTTACTTTACCTGTAACAAACCTTGATGTTATTTTGAAATAACAACTACAACAACATTATACTTAGAAGGTCATTGGTGAGGTTCAACATATATAATTACAACAGAATAAAAAGATACATTGGCTTGCTTATTTTAAGTCTGGGGTTTTTTATAATGTGTGATAAATAACAAAGCACACAATGTGAAATACAACATAGTTTAGGATTTAAAAAGGGGGACTTAGGAAATGAGGAATAAAATTAGGGCCAGCCTAACCTGAGGCAGAATGTGGCAGCTGCTTCAGACAATATAAATGCTTGAAATAATGGCACATTGCTGCAAGCCAGAGCTACGGTATGTATGTCTCGTATGTTTGGTTCTGATCCTTAAACTGCACATGCACAACTCATGCCTCTTGAAAATCCTGGATATGGCTTTCCCTAAAAGCTTCCGAAATTCTTGTTAAACTGTGATTTGCAATATAAGAGAAAAAGGAAATTAGTAAATATTAGAAGTCTCTTGTTAAATATATTTTTAAATAATGTAAAAGAAGGTAAAAGAAAAAAACTTTGGTTCTCTCTTGCTTTTCCCCAGCGTTCCATTGGACAAAATTACTCAAATTCACTCTCAGCTGGACCAGTGGCGATGTCTAGGGAGGAGTCATGTTGTGTATCAGTTGTGCCCATTCCTGAGTTGTGGGAGTCACACTGATCACTGTTACTCATGCCCTAATCATCTCATGTTTGGACTTCCATAATGCTGTCTACATGGGGCTGCCCTTGAAGAGTATCCAGAAGCTTCAGCCAAAGGAAAAATGCAGCAGTGCAGGCCTCTAGAGTGGTCCTATGCAGCTTGTGGCACACATTATAGCTCTGTTCCACAAGCTGCATGGTTGCCAGTGAGGAAACTTATAGAATCTTCTCTCCCCAGAAGTGAGGTTAGCTCCATCCCTCTTAACATTCTGCAATCACTCAAGACCTGGCTATGCTATCAGGCTATAGTCTCTTGTGATATGGTTGGGATTATATAAATATAATACCTGAATGAATGAATGAATGAATGAAGGTCACTTGAAATCAAGCAACTTTATTGTACTGTCCTCTGGTGTGCTAATTAATGGATGCTGATCTCATATTGAAGGAAAACTGAAATGCTGGCCCAGTCATCTCTTCATGGTATGGTGGGACATCAAATCTTGTTTATTTCTCCAACAAGAAAAGTCCTGAGTTGGTTCAGTGCATAAAAAGGCCATATCAGCAGAAACAGAATTATAAATTAGAATATTTCAATGTCTCATCACACAGGGGATTTTATGCTGAATTTGGGGTACAATAAGCAATGAGGCCATGGCATAAGCTTGCCTTCTTTCTTAACAGAAATAGTGGAAAGTGATTTTTGTGAAGTTGGAGTACAGGTTATACCTTTTGCAGTTTCCTATGCGCAGATGATCAAACATGAAGAAAGGCTTAAGGTGGATTGCATGCTTTTCCTGTTCTTTGCCAGTCTAAGTTGCTTGCATTTGAATGTATAAAAATGAGTGCCTGGATGTGTATCTCTCTGTGCAGAAAGGTCTCTTTATATTGTTAGGTTGCCTTGAAAATCCATTTTCATCACTATTGGGAAAACCATCTGCAACTTGCAGGAATCTAAAGGAAAACAAGTACATTTGATACCCCGAACCTGAGTCTCCTGACCATTGCTCAGAGCAATCAAATAGGAAAAAGCAAGAGACATTAAAAAGCAGTGGCATCATAGCACACAATGGTCAAGGGTCACATAACATGGCTAATAAAGTCAATTAAGGATACAGTGCATTCTGAGAACCTACTAAATAATTCAATATTAGAGCAAGAGAGGGTCTATTAGACCCAGAATAGTGGAGCAACTGAGATTCAGACAATTCTCCCCTGCCAGACTGTATGAACTCAAATTGGGTCAACTGTGCAGGATCTATTCTTTGTAGCCAGAATGTTACAGCTTTGTAAATGCAAGCCACTTGTTTTCAAGATGCATCTTGGAGTTTAAAATTTTTGGTAAAACAAACAAACAAACAAAACCCCATTGCTTAAATGAAAAAACAAATACATAAACTGGTGGCTGAATTAGTGAAAATAATAAATTCTGTCTCAAAACTCCTACGATTGCTATTCTGAATGGGAAACTTTGGAAGTTTCCTAAGAAACCCCCTCACTGAGTTCTGACATTCTCTTTGGTTTCACCCATGTCTGTAGCCACTGCTATTACTGCTATACACCATGGATAGATAATAAGCCCCCTTTTCAGGAATAGAAAAAGCTCTTATACATTTTAATGTGACCTTAGACAGTGCCTTTCAGAAATCACAGGCACATCTGACTACACTTGAGGTTGAATTGAGCTAATGGCATTCACCTCATCTTTAGATGCAAAATTGGAAGATAAAAAGACCTTGATATGAAAAGGAAAGAGGAGAGAAGGGAGGGAGGAAAGAGAGGCAGATTAGAGATATTGCTTAAAAATCTTATGATTGCTAGTTGATAACAAAATGTCTCCTCTTTCTGGGGGGAAAACCCTGTGGGCTTGCAAGAAGTCCTTATGCTTTTTATTTTTAATGATAGAATCTATTTTATTCCCTGGCCAAAAAAATTTCAATGTTGCTGCATATGTGACCAGGAGATATGCTGACCTTTAGCAAATCTTATTTTAAAAAACTGATGGAACAGTTATTGCAATATTCCTTTCCTGTAAGATTAAAAAAGGAACTTTCTTCCTCTGTAATCAGAAGTGGATTAAATTTATTAAATGTGCAGAAACTTGTCCCCCTTTAGAAAAAAAGGACACTTGCCAGTCATATTTCATTATGAAAAGCTGTTTGAAGACATAGTTTCATTTTTTTCTCCCTATATCTAAAAAACATGCCAAGGTATTAGAAAGTGAGCGGGTTACATTTATTTGACTCTGAAAGATATTTAATGTTAGCAAGAGGAGG